CTAAGGAACATTCTGGTTGTATTTCTTTTAAGACTGATTTCTTCGTTCTGGCAGCCCATGGTGTTTTCAGTATTCCTTGCCAACACCACAATTTGAATGCATCCATTTTTCTGTCTTCCTTTTTCATTGTCCAGGTTTCACATGCATATGAGGCAATGACTAAAAAGATCATGGCTTGGGTGAGGTGCACCTAGGAAACGAATACAGTATTATTCATTACAGTAATAACCAGCAGTTGCTATTTACTTATGGCAGGGATTCACTGAGGTCAGGGCACCCTGGCTGTCAGAAAGTCCGTATTTGGTCACCTGGGCAAGTGACTCACCAAATTCTGACAGCTGGAGCTTGTCCAGTATGCCCCTCTGGTGAATCTCCTCCATTCCGTCCACTCCACCCCTCCAGCCCTCAGAGCCCCAGGCAACCACGCTTCTGTCTTTGTCTCCCTCTGACCCCTGCTTTAAGACTCTTGTTCCCACCTCCGATAATTAGCTAAACCTCTCATACGTAGGGCTGCCGTGAGTTGTGGTGACTGGACAGCAGCTACGAACAACTCAAACTTTACCCTCAGTGAGAACTACTACCAACAAAATTAGGTAGGGTGCTTGCACTTTAAAAAGGTTAATCCAATAGATTTAACTCTTGACTGGATTGCAGGCAGGGTGGACAGAAAGCCAGAGAGAAGGGACATGTGTGGGGAGGTCCCTTCTGTGCTTGGGCTGAGTCCTTGACTCACCTTCCACAGCACCCTGACCTCTGGGGTGGAAATTGGCACAGTTGGATCCCTGTCACGTGTCATGGGGTAGGTTACAAATAGCAGGGGATTAGCAAACCCATCTGGAAACTCCTGGTTCAAGGGCAGGGAAAGTTATCAGTTTAATTCCAGGAGATCATTAGTGGTTGAGATCCAGGAAGGGGGTTCTATGGCAAAGGCAGGCTGTGCGCCTATATGTGTGTGTGGAAGGGGCAAAACTGACTGGACACAAGTCCTTCCAAGGGCCTGCTTCAGCCTTGGAGCCAGGACCTCATGCCTGAATGGCTCGGATATGAAGGACCCTGTCTCACATTCTGGTGGCACAGTGGTTAAGAGCTCGGCTGCTAACCAAAAGGTCGGCAGTTTGAATCCACCAGCCGCTCCTTGGAAACGTTATGGGGCAGTTACTCTGCCCTGTAGGGTCACTATGAGTCGGAATCCACTCCAGGCAACGGGTTTTTTTGGTCTCACATTCTAATGGAGCACATGTTTCTGGGACCGATTGTCTCCATATCTTGTTAGTCAAAGAGTTCCCAGAGAGGCACCTGCTCCAGTGACTCCACCCAAGGTCTCCCAAGTGGCAGGAGGCCACACGGCCACCCGGGTGTATCCGTCCTGACCGCGCACGCGGTGGCAAAGGGCACGGTGGCGGGAACGCAGAGACCCCATTGCGCCTCGGCCACGGCTACGCCGAAGGGGGAGGGGCAGGCGCTCCCCTTTCGCACCCCTTTCCTACCACCCTCCCCCGCCTCCCCGAAATGCTGGGCTTTAGGCACCGAAGGAGACCAGTCCCCTGTCCATTGCCCGGACCTCGGCCGGGGCAGCGCGCAGTTCCGGGGCCACGAAAATCTCGACTTGCCAAGGGCCCCCAGGGCTGCAGGCCAGGGAGGTGGCAGGGGTGCCCATTCTTCCCGGATCCTTTAGGCGCACGATATCGTGCGCGGAAGCGACCAAGTCCGCCCGCCTTGGGTCCGGGGGCCGCCCTCTCTCCCCACTCCCGCGCCGGGCGCTCCTCCAGCTCCCGAAGCCAACGCCCGGTGGCGGCCAGCTCCCGCTGGTATGCCATGCCCTGCCCTGCCTGCCGCCTGCAGTCCACTCTCCGGCACACTGTCCTGGCACCGCCTCCTTCCCTAAATGAAGTCGCAGCCCGCCCCTCCCTGTCGGAGCGCGCAGGTTGGGGAGAGCGGGGCGCGGCCGGCACTGCCGAGGCCGCGCGTGCAGAAGCGTAGGCCGTGCAGAGCTCCAGGCAGACGGCCAGCGCTGCCCCCGCGGACCGCGACCCCGGCGGCTGGCCCCAGGCTCCCGGGCTGCGCGCCCTGGCGCCGGCAGCGCGCACACAGGACGCGTCCTCAGGTAAGCTGCTCCGCCAGCGCGCGTGGGCAGCTCGGAGTGAGGTAACGGGCCGGGCGCTATGGTTTTGAGACCAGGGGTGAGCGCGAGGAGTAGCGGGGGTGTGGAGGACTCTGCGCTAAACAGGCGCCTGTGGGAGCGCACCGAGCTACTCGAGTCTGTTGGTTGCGCTCGGGCTCCCTAAAACCCAGCAAGCGACTTCCCATAAAGGACACTTGCTTCTCTTTGCCTGCATTCCCAAACTTATCCGAGCTTTGGACGTGGTGAGATGCTATTAGATTGGAAATGCCTTTTGGAAAACCGATAGGAATGTTGGGGAGGTGGATTTAGCATTAAGTAAATTAACTGTAGATAGCTATTTGGAGAAGTTTTAGTTTTCTGTTAGTGTAGATATATCTTTCCGTTTGTGAGTGCAAGTATAAGAAGGAGAGAGACACTGTACCCTCCCACTATTTTGGATGGGGGATTAACACTTATGCCAGGTACTTAGTCCACTAGTTCCTGGAAAAGAAGGTACAAATCCACCCTTGGGCTTCTTCTATTTACTTAACTAGTGTTTGGGAATTTGTCTTAAGGCAGTTTAAACCTTGTGATTCATTTTAAAGTTGACCGGGAATACAATGAATTCCTGGTAGGACTTTGTCGCTGAAAATCCACCCTTATCTCAGAAATCAGCAATAAAGATTACATGATTTGGAATTTTTTAATTTGTGCAATATTGAGGTCTTTGTGTTTCAGCTTAATTGCAGGTTCATAAAGTATAGTTTTGCCAAATTTGGAGTGAGAGCTTATCCTTCTTTAGCCGTATTTCCTTTTTTTCCTCCAGCTTCCTTCTGATTCTATCATTCATTCCTGGAAAAATACTTCCTAGTATAAGACTGGCTGTTTGGTTTCTTTACCTAAACTGACTTCATATCGACAAGATTTTAGTATGTTTTGTCAACATGGCCTTGGCTTTAGAGCTTCTGTCTTGAGCTCCTTCAAGTGATAGTTGATGCTTGTAGCACAAAATATTTAAAAAGTTTCTCTTCTTGAGTAAGTGTAAATAATCTGCACAACCTCGATTGTTTTTGAGGGTGCCCCAACTTAAAGGGTCCTGGTAAAATACTCCATTCATTAGAGAAAGACAAGATAACTGGATGAGTCAGCTCTGTGTAAACTAGACAACTCTTTAATAACTGCTCATGTAAGTTTTATATATAATACCCTTGCTTCAAATGACTGAAGTCAAGAGTTTGGGTGATTTTGCAGAAGGTGTTTTCCCAGTTGTTTTAACTTATACTCTTCTTTCAAAGTCAAGTTCCATTGGTGTTTAGTGCTTGGTAATTGGTGATTTTGTCGATCAGCTGCTTATTTTTAACTGAACCTCGACCTCTTTGTGGAAGCGGTGGTACCATGGAGGAAGGTGAGTGAGACGGATCCTGCCTGCCTTGGAGATGGCTGCCCTTGACCGCTGTGCCAGACTCTCCAAACAAGTGGATCATCCCAGGCCCAGCCAAGCAGCTGGGCCACCTAATTTCAGGCAGGGCAGCGCCAGGGTGTGCCTGTTGAGAACCCGAGAATCCCATTTTGACAGAATTAATTAATTAGTCCATTACATGGCTGTGTTCCTGAACCATCTTTCCATTTGATACTTCATTTGAAACTGCTGAGCTTGGGTCTCCTGCAGATGTTGCCTAGGAATAAAGCGCAGAATGGAAAGTTGCCGCAGCCTAAAGCAGGAAATGGAAAGTTAGTTACTGAACGAAAATTTACTGGCTTGGAAATGCTCAGAACAGCTGTAGTGAAATGTGGGGCATCTGTAAATCAGAAATAATCCTTGTAGTTCTTCCCTCACTCGCCATTGTTTTTTACTTGGGAAAGTGACTTTGTGAGGCTCATAACAGGAAAAGCTACACCTGGTTACTTTTGTTGTTTTGCTTTTCAAAGATACTCTTATCTCAGATGCAGAGTAATTGCATTTCCTTTTCTTGAATATCTTCATAAAATTACATATCAAGGAGTTTTGGAATGCCAGTTCTTCTGACTCAAAAACCAACTCCTTATTCTAAGGTGTTATTGGTTGCATGAAGTTCTGTCCCCTGATTATTACATCCTGTGTGATTTCTGAAATGGCTAGCAAAGGACCAGGGTGGATTGGCGCACCTGTGCCCACTTTAATTTGGCGTTTGGTTGTGTTTGCAGAACTATTGAAAGCGTCGGCGGGAAGGAAACACATTTCACCCCGCTTCAGGGAAGGGGTCTCTTCTGACCATGTCTCCCACGGCTGCTGCTGAGCCCAGTGGGGACCAGCAAGAAAGGCATGTCAGCAAGCTCGTTTTCTTCCTCTTTGTCTTTGGTGCCATCCTGTTGTGTTTGGGAGTCCTGCTGTCCATCTTTGGGTTCCAGGTATGCCAATATGGAGCCTTCCTCAACTGCAGCCCAGTACTGAAGGCCACTGGGCCCACGTGTGCCGTGATCGGGCTGGGGACTGTGATCCTGGCCCGCTCCTGGGCACGACTTCAGCTCCTGGCGGGGCACCTTCGAGGCAACCAGGTGGACCCTGATGGAGCCTTCATCTGTGGAGAGAGCCGCCAGTTTGCCCAGTACCTCATCCTTGGGTTTCTCTTCCTGACGAGTGGCCTGCTGATCAGCATAGTGGGCATTTGGATCCCTGGATGTGGCTCAGGCTGGGCGCAGGAGCCGCAGAATGAGACAGACACCGCTGATTCTGAACCCCATATCTGTGGGTTGCTGACTCTGCAAATCACGGGGCCCTTGATTGTGCTCGTGGGATTGTGTTTCTTCGTGGTTGCCCATGTTAAGAGAAGAAACCGCTTGAGTGTGAGCCAGGATGCCTCGGAAAGTGAAGAGGGACAGACCCAGAGCACAGAGTCCATCCAGGTCACTGTAGGTGGGTGGCTGTCATGCATGTGCTGGCTCATGTCACAGTGGCTGTTGCATTGTCTCCACTGGGCTGCCCTTGGGCCTTGGTTCTCATTCTCTCTCTCTTCCTCACACACACAGCGCTGCTGCTGTGGTCACCTCGCAGGAATCCTTGTACTCATCACGCCCCCTACCCTCAGCAACTCTTTATCATTTAGAAAAAGCATTGGGACATTAAGTACTGACCTTGACTGAGATCATAGAGCAAATTAGGGGAAAGAGAGAACTTTGAAGGCAGCCTTAGAGCCTTCTGTCACAAGTGACCTGCCAGGCGACCCTGCTTCCTCTGTTATTCTTGCACTGAAACCTTGTGACACTGCTGGCGTTTGGACACGTGGGTCTCATCCCTGGGCTGTCACTGGCTGGCTGTCCTTGGCTAATCCTTAACCTCTCCTGGCCTTAGTTTAACCTCTCTTGGCCTTAGTTTATACATCTGTAAAAAGATTCTTTTCAGCACTTAACATCCTAGGATTCTGAGTCTGTCCCAGTCCATCAATCTTCAGATGCTTTGAAGGGGCCTTCTGCGCTATTTTCTGCATTGTTCTTTATTTTCTATAACTTTGTCCTTGGTGGCAGGGGTGGAATGAAGTTTGGAAGCAGTGGCATAGACCGAGGTGAAATGCAGCAGTGCTTGTATGGCTGCTAACCAAAAGGTCGGCAGTTTGAATCCACCAAGTGCTCCTTGGAAACTCTGTGGGGCAGTTCTACCTCTGTCTTATAGGGTCACTATGAGTCTGAATTGACTCAACGGCAGTGGGTTTGATTTTTTGGTTTTTCTCCACGGAATGCCAGAAATTCCTTTGGGAATCCCCAGATTCTGCAGAAGAGATGGATTATCCCCACAGAATAACGTTAGTCGCTTTAGCCTTGTAGCTCCACGCACCCAAGGAAAAACCCTGTTGCTACTCGTTTGCAAATTGTTGTTGCTGTTAGTTGCCATGGAGTCAATTCCGACTCATGGCAACCGCATGTGTGCAGAGTAGAACTGCTTCATACGGCTTCCAAGGCTGTGACCTTTTGGAAACAGATCACCAGGGCTGTCTTCAGGGTGCCTCTGGTGGGTTTGAACTGCCAATCTTTCAGCTAGTAGTTGACGGCTTAACGATTTGTGCCACCAAGGACTCCTACTTGCAAATTACTGGGTTTTTTTTTTTTCAGTCTTCTGCTTTAGGAATGGTAAAGCTCTGAAGCTACAGTCTTGACATCTGAAAGGCTAGGCCAAGAGGATTACTGAGCAGAAACTGTGGAGGGTACAAAGAAGACTGGGACAAGGAGATGTTTCTCGTGTTTGGGGCTGTCTGCTGGAGCCAGCAGGATTCACGGGCTGCAGGCTAGGGGGAAATTCACTGGGCTGGTGGCCTTGCGTGGGGCCAGCCCTGATGAGAAAGCAGAGATCGATTTATAGACATTTCTGGTGTCGAGCCTGGTTTGATGATCCCTGTTCACTTATTTGTGCATGTATGTGTTTGTGTGTGACAAAATCAATATTAATTATGTATTAACAACAGCTGACATTTATGTAAGGCACCCTGGTGGTGCAATAGTTAAGTGTTCAACTGTTAACTGAAAGGATGGCAGTTCGAACCCACCCAGTGGCTCCACAGGAGAAAGACCTGGCGATCTGCTTCCATAAAGATTACAGCCAAGAAAACCCTGTGGGGAAGTTCTACTCTGATACATGGGGCAGCTATGAGTTGGAATCAACTGGACAGCACCTAACCACAACAACAACCACTTACCCATTGCCATCGAGTTGATTTGGACTCACAGCAACCCCATGTGGGGCTTATTCTTGAGCCAGATGGCCATATAAATGCCTTAGCATATGTCCTTTGAGGGCTACTCTGTGAAATTCATTCACTCCTAAAACAAAACAAAGAGACAGATACTCTTATTTTAGAGATAAAGAAACTTAGGTATAGGGATATAAATAACTTGCCCAAGGTCACAAACTAGCAAGTGGTAGAGCCAGGATCCAAACCCATGCCAGTGGGCATGCATACAGTACAGCCCCTGCATAACCTCCCCCACCCACCCCCCCCGCCCCAAAACCGGCTTCATCCTTCACCAGTTGTTCTGGGTAGTTGTTAGAGGACCAGAGGGCTCACCCAGTGTTACAGATGTTCTCAGGCCTTTGGAGAGCAAGATGGGGTCCAAGTGAATACATTCATTGAACGCTCATATTCTTCCACTTGTCGTTAGGTGCCTTTGAGTTGGTTCTGACTCACAGCAACCCTGTGTACAACAGAACAAAACACTGCTCAGTCCCGCACCATCCTCACATTGATTGTTATGCTTAAGCCCATTGTTGTAGCCACTGTGTCAGTCCATCTCGTTGAGGGTCTTCCTCTCTTTTGCTGACCGTCTACCTTACCAAGCATGATGTCCTTCTCTAGGGACTGATGCTTCCTGATAACATGTCCAAAGTACTTGAGACAAAGCCTCGCCATTCTCACTTCTAAGGAGCATTGTGGCTGTACTTCTTCCAAGACAGATTCTTCCACTTAGTTGAGGACATTTCAGGGTGTGCTCTTGGGTTTCCCAGCAGGGAGTTTCTGGCCCACATAGTGGGACTGGCTGGAGTTGGGGAGGGGGCAACAGAGCTGCTGGTCTGGGGCTCGGTGAACCCTGGGCAGTCCCAAACCCATCCTGATGTTGGCACTGCAGAGTTTAAAATCTTTGTCACTTAACCACTCAGGTTCTGTCAAACCTGCGAAAAGCAAACTCCTTGTTTTTCTCTGCTTTGGTTTTGTGGGATAAGGTGTACATTTTTAGGAATCATGACTTCTTTTTAGCACAATAGACGTTAAGACTCTAGACACGGTCTATCAATTGTCAATTCTGGTTTTTGACTCTCTTAGGGAATTAGGATGAGGGGAGTCAGTTCTTTGCTAGTTCAGCTATTCCCAGAAAGGAAGATCCCCCCCCAGAATGGATAAACTGAGAAGCAATGATATCCCCACTGTGGGTCCATGCTGCTCGCAGGCTCATTGCTGGGCGCTGGATACACAAGCAGGTTTATGAGACAGAGCCTTCCCTCAGTGGGTGAATATTATCACCTCACAAAGGACATCAAGTTCTGAAGGATGGTGGTGACAGGGATATCCAGGGAGAGCAGGTGGCGAGGTGTGGGAGCTCCAGGAGCTGATGAGGCAGAAGACTGGACATGCCTTGGAGATAACTGTGGTTACTCTGAGCATTTCCTTGTTTGTTTTTGACAGGTGACTGGCCCGTCCTAGAGGCTTATTTCGCAAGTGCCTTATTCTACAATGTGTAATTAAAGTGAACGCTCAGCCTTAATTCCTCTGACACATTCGGATCTTTTAAAAATGAAGTGAGAATTCCAAAACAACCATTATGCCTTATCTAGTTTAGATATTTTAAGCTTTGATTGCCATCTCCTCGGAGAACGAGAGGTGGAGTTAACACTTTTTCTGAAGGGCAACGTGAACTCAGGGGAAGTGACTGAGGCTTCAGGGTAGAGAGTGGAGCCACTAGCCAGACTGCCATTTGGGAGGGTTTCTTTAGACACGCAAATAAGTGCCATTTGCTGAATGAGTGTAAAGAAAGTGCCTTTGCTGGTATGTTAGAGCTGAACAGGTTTGCTCTGTGCCTAGCACTGTTTTAATCCCTGGGCACAAAACATCTCATCCAGTCCTCCTAAGTCGGTGCCACGAACTTACCAGAGGCCTTCCTCAGACCTCAACATCGTGGAGCTGCCTCATGTCTAGAATGTTCTTGGCAACTTGTATGGTGTATTTTGTATTGGAATTAGAATACAGATTGGAGCCTGCATCCAGACCCTAGTCTCTCCTCCCAAAAGCACAGGCGTGTGTGTTCTTGAGTGAACAGTAGCAGCAGAAATGCAAACTCAAGCTTTTCTTTGAGTTGGACTTTCATTTGTAAAGCTTGGATGAAATTTTGGTACATAAAAGACTGTGAAAGTGCATAAGCTACAACTTCACCACCTGTCTGTTTGTCCTACTCTGGTGGCTTGTGTGTTGTTGTGATGCTGGAAGCTATGTCACTGGTATTTGAAATACCAGCAGGGTCACCCATGGTGGACAGGTTTTGGTGGAGCTTCCAGACTAAGACAGAGTAGGAAGAAAGACCTGGCAATTTACTTCCCAAAATTAGCCAATGGAAACCTTATGGATCACAACAGAACATTGTCCTGTGCAGTGGCTACGACAATGGACTTGAGCATACCAGTGATCATGGAAATGGCACATGTTGAGGCAGCATTTTGTTCTGTTGTATATAGGATCTCCATGAGCTGGAGCTGACTCAGTGGCAACTAACAACAACAAAAGGCACAACTACAATGTTGATAATGATGACGTGCTGTAGCGTAGCTTATCTGTCATTTGTTCAGAGACTGAAACTGCATTTGAGGAACAAGGTGCTTTACCCAACAGTTAGCTTTTGATGAATTTAAGTTGTAAGTTGAAAATGAAAAAAAAAAGTTTTATTAACAGGAGACGTTCGAGGAAGATAAGGCACCTTTTTTTAACAAACACTTCACCGAAATACTTTAGCTCAGACTTGCTATGAAAAATAGGCCTACTTTTTAATTCTGGAGCCGGTGGCGGATGTTTTGATCTTTATATAGATGGCGTAAGTATAGAGTTAATTTATTTTGCTCTTGCTGTTTTGCTTCCCTTTATTACTCACGTCTTTAACTAAATGTTGTGTTTCCTTAGGTGATGCGGTGATAATATTTCCACCTCCTCCCCCACCTTACTTTCCTGAGTCTTCAGCTTCTTCGGTAACGCGAAGTCCTCTGGCTAACAGTTTGCTTCCAAATGAAAGTCCACCTTCATATGACAGTATTTTTAACTATGGGTAAGAATTTCATTTGAACTTTTCAAGAATAGGCATGTCTAATTTTTCAGGCCTATGCGAGGCCAAATTAGCTTTGTTAAGGCTGTGGTATAAGCATAAACCCTAGAGTGTGAGTATCATTTATGCTTATGTTAGAATTATCGCCTTAATATTAATGGTCCTTTCAAGAAACTTCGGGCAGAACATAAGTTAAAAATTATAAAAGTGGTTGTTGTCAGTTGCCATTGACTCATGGCGACCATATGTATAACAGAACGAAACATTACCCGGTCCTTGCCATTTCATGATCGGTGGTATACTTGAGTCCATTGTTGTGGCTATTGTGTTAGTCCATCTCACTGAGGGTTTGTCTCGCTTTCATTGACCCTCTGCTTTACCAAACATGACATCCTTTTCTAGTGATTGGTCTTTCCTGGTAAGAGTGGTTATGCTTGGTAAATATGAAGTTCTCTCTAGGCATCATTACGTGCTCCTAACAGGGTGATACCGAACATGTTTAACAACTATTGAATCAGACTGAATGCTGGCCCATGGCCCAGAAGCCCTGCCGTGTTAAGCATTACTGTTGTAGGTCTTGGGGCAGTACAAGGGTCCCAGGGAATCCGGAGCAGGTACAGAAGTGTTCCGGTATTCTAATGGAGGTACTTGTGTGACTCTCTGGAATCAGCCCTGTTTCCTGATCTTACCAACCTGGGCCTCTCCCCTCAATATTAAGTCTTTCCCATAACTCCTGGCCCCTACGCATCTGTCAGTTTGTTGTACTTTGGGGGCTTGCATGTTGCTGTAATGCTGGAGGCTATGCCACTGATATTCAAATACCAGCAGGGTCACCTATGGTGGACAGGTTTCAGCTGAGCTTCCAGACTAGGACAGACTAGGAAGAAGGGCCCGGCAGTCTACTTCTGAAAAGAGTTAGCCATTGAAAACCTTATGAATAGCAGGGGAACATTGTCTGATATAGTGCTGGAAGATGAGCCCCTCAGGTTGGAAGACACTCAAAATACAACTGGGAAGAACTGCCTTCTCAAAGTAGAATAGACCTTAATGACGTGGATGGACTCAAGCTTTTGGGACCTTCATTTGTTGATGTGGCATGACTCAAAATGAGAAGA